ATAGCAACAGACAATGACATCCATCATTTTCTCTATTTCTAATCTGCACCAGGCTCTGGTGAAATAAGAATATCAGGAACATTTTAGGTTTTATGGGTTCACTGCCCGTGGCATGCTGGCTTAATTTTACCTTTCTTTTGATCGTGGCACATTTACATAAAACATGAAGAAAAGTGGTGCACATGATGGTCCCTTTTGGCCAAGCGCTCGCAGCTCCTGTCCACATTCCCAGTGTGGGGCAGTCAAGCTGCCTCTGCTCTGCTCTGTTTGTTTTATGGAGCAGTAGTGAAACCACTCTGGTGTCAGCTAGCTGCAAAAAAGAGGGGTGGGGGGGGTGGGGTATCCGTGCTGAATCTCATTGACAAAAAGAGGTCATTATTCTGCACACAGCATCTGCAAAAACAAGAATCAAATGCACAGAATCAGACGCAGAGCAGCAGGACAGCTGATCCGATCCTTCGGTGAACTCCACGGTGCAGGAAAGACAAAAAAATGTAAAAGGCCCGAACATCTTTCACCATGATGAGAACTCCTTTCACACCAGCTGAAGTAATATGAGGTTTGTCATTAAGCATGTGCAGCACAAATTATTCCAGACCAAGTGAAACTATTTATATCTACCACACGACCTGAGAGCCAAGTATGGCTCATGGTGTGATTTACATTGTTTGCTGGTTCTGTTGGGTTTTGCACAGGTGCACTGAGTGGACCCATGTGAGGCTCCGAGAATGCATTCCACAAGCCCATGGCTCCCTCTAGTGGATCATAAACTCCGTCTGGAACCAGGTTAGAAGCTGAGCTGGTTTTGTGTTTTAGTCCGTAAAATGGGATGAAGAATTTTTATTGTGACAGGAAGAAGCAAACAGCTTGTGCAACAGCAGCAGAGATGTTTGAAATATTCTGTTCCTAATTAACCTTCAAGCTCATCAGTCACGATCAATACAGAGCGTGGGCTGTTTTAAATTGAAATGAAGTAATTATCAGACTGTATTCATCTCGTTAATGAAACAATGTTCCAAAAGGCCTGCAGCAAAACGGCTAATTGAGTTCTATTTTCTGAGACGGGAAGCCTCTCCTTGTTTCAGTGACTGCAAAGCTTCAGATGTAGCTCAGTGCTCATCTCTGAGTGACTCAAGAACAGGTGTTGACAAGGTGGAGGCCCCCCCAGCTCCTCATGTTTACTCTCATCAGAGCAGAGGTCAAGGTGTTTCAGCGTCTGTACATCTTCAAGGGGGAAACGTGTTTATTCTGTGACTCGGCTGCAGTAGATGCACATTTCATATCACTAATCCAGCAAACGGGCAGCACGGTGGCGCAACTGATAGAGCTACTGCCTCTCAGCGAGCAGGTCCCTGGTTCAAACCCCGGTCCAGGGGCCTTTCTGGGTGGAGTTTGCATGTTCTCTTCGTGCATGCGTTGGTTTTCTCCGGGTGCTCCGGTTTCCTCCCACAGACCAAAAACATGCATGTTAGGCTGATTGGTAACTCTAAAATTGTTTTTAGGTGTGAGTGAGAGAGTGAATGGTTGTTTGTCTCGTTTGTCTCTATGTGGTCCTGTGATGGACTTGCGACCCGTCCAGGGTGTACGCCGCCCCTCGCACAGTGATTGCTGGACATGGGCACCAGCGACCCCCGTGACCCAAAATGGAATAAGAGGGTAAAGATAATGGATGGATGGATGGGCATCCAATGTAAAAACTATCATCAAGTCTTCGTGAGTCAGTTCACTGTGGAGACTCTGAAGAAGGGAGCAGCTGAAAGAAGAAAGTATAACCATACGAAACTTAATGAGCTTTGTTCTCTTTATTTTACTCAAGTATGTTTTATAGCTCTGGACACATTTTATTTGGAGAGGGGAAAAGCAGAAATGGTTCTTTTGACTGTAAAGATCATAAATCTCTGCACTACTTCAACAAACACATCTCGCCTACTAGGGGAGCAGAAGTGATACTAGCCAACCAAAATGCTGCAGCATCAGCCAGAAGTCCCAAACAGTGCTCACCAGGTGACTAGTTGATGCAAAGGAGGAGCAAAGGGAGAAATGGGAATACCCTCCGTTCCATCCGTCCATCCCTGCATGCATGTTGAAAGCAAGATCATTTGAAAAATAAGTATGGTACTAATTTCCATTTTGTCATAATGCTTCATGTAGGCATAAGATGGGTCAATATGGGAAAATGGGTCGCCTGGTCAAAATCCAAGTTGGCCACCACCTGTTAAAACATGTAAGCTGACCACCCCGATCATTTGAGGAAACTATGCTTTCTAGTTTTTATACTGCTGAAAAGTATAGTTTCCTTCCTGGTGTTTACAGGTGCTGGTCATAAAATTAGAATATCGTGAAAAAGTTGATTTATTTCAGTAATTCCATTCAAAAAGTGAAACTTGTATAATCATTCATTCATTACACACAGACTGATATATTTCAAATGTTTATTTTAATGTTGATGATTATAACTGACAACTAATGAAAACCCAAATTCAGTATCTCAGAAAATTAGAATATTACTTAAGACCAATAAAAAAGAAGGACTTTTAGAAATGTTGGTCAACTGAAAAGTATGAACATGCAAAGTATGAACATGTACAGCATCAATACTTAGTTGTTGCTCCTTTTGCCTGGATTACTGCAACAATGCGGTGTGGCATGGAGTTGATCAGTCTGTGGCACTGCTCAGGTGTTATGAGAGCCCAAGATCCTCTGATAGTGACCTTCACCTCTGTGTTGACCTTGGACCTCAAAAACACAGTGGACCAATACCAGAAGATGACATGGCACCCCAAACCATCAATGACTGTGGAAACTTGACACTGGACCTCAAGCAACGTGGATTCTGTGCCTCTTCTCTTCCTCCAGACTCTGGGACCTTGATTTCCAAAGGAAATGCAAAATGTACTTTCATCAGAGAACATAACTTTGGACCACTCAGCAGCAGTCCCAGGCGAGACGCTTCTGTCACTGTCTCTTGTTCAACTGTGGCTTGACACAAGGAATGCGACAGATGAAACCCATGTCTTGCATACGTCTGTGCGTGGTGGTTCTTGAAGTTGTGAACAGCCAGCCTCTTTAGCAACGATCTTTTGTGTCTTGCCCTCCTTGTGCAAGGTGTCAATGTTCGTCTTTTGGACAACTGTCAAGTCAGCAGTCTTCCCCATGATTGTGTAGCCTACAGAACTAGACTGAGACTGCTTAAAAGCCTTTGCAGGTGTTTTGAGTTAATTAGCTGACTAGCGTGTGGCACCAGGCGTCTTCAATATTGAACCTTTTCACAATATTCTAATTTTCTGAGATAGTGAATTTGGCGTTTTCATTAGGTGTCAGTTATAATCAACAACATTTAAATAAACATTTGAAATAAATGAATATAATATACAAGTTTCACTTTTTGAATGGAATTACTGAAATAAATCAACTTTTTCACGATATCCTAATTTTATGACCAGCAAATTAAAAAAAAAAAAAAAAAGTGACATTTGAGGAAACTATATTTATACGGAATATAAAAAATAGTTTCCTCAAATGGTTGGGTGTCCAGTTTCATAGAACGTACAAAATCATTTCAGTCTAAAACTCTGGCATGAAGTTGGAGGGAGATATGCATTCCTTCAAGGAGCACAAGGCCTTTAATTGTATTTCAGGAAACATACAACGAAAAAAAAAAGGAAAAACAGACAAAAAAAAGTCCTAAAACTTTATGAAAATGTTAAATTATTCAAATATACAAACATATTCACACTTACAGTATAAGAAATATAAGGTGAGGACTGATGAAGTCAAAATATTTCAGTTGTCTTTATAATCCCCCCAATCTTACTCAGATGAAGATCTGGTTGTTTTAAGCTAAATGTCCTTCCTGATGCAACGTGGGCACAAACTTGCAACCTAAGGATTAAAATAAACACAGCCCCTTTTATTTATAAGCATAAAAAAGTACTTACAATAACAATAAAGGCACTGTCAATGTCTTTGTGCCTGATTAGACCCTGTCCTGTGTTTACAGTTTTGATTAGTCTGATTCAAACTCATGGTCCTGTCCCAGACTCAGAACAGCAGCAATCACATCACATCACTATTTTAGTGAGAAAATACTAATAATACATCTTAAACATGTGAAAAGTCAGGACCAACTTGGTGCGAGAAAATTAAAAATACACGTGATGCACCAAAATTTGCTACGACCCTATCTTTTTTTTTTGCTATAGTCAAAATTTGGTCCAAGAACATGCTCACTGCACGTCATTACACTCTAAATGAATACAGCCTTGACTCTCAGTGATATGTAAACAAGTACTTGTGCACTTTTGTATCTGGTGTGCAAAAAATAATAAAATAAAAATGCACAGAACAGATGAAGTTTCTTCCCCCAGAGAGTCACCACCACATCTTTAAAGATACACAAACATATTGTATATCAAAATGTAGAGCTTTTTCATTTAAATTTTAAAATGGCCGCCATGTGGCAGTCATCATGAGAAAACTAGAAGGTTTCTGAAAAAACTTTGATGACTGCCATGAATTACATGGCCACTGCCAAAATTACATGACAAAAAGGCCTGTTTTGATATGTAATATGTATGTGTATGTCAACAGATGTGGTGGTAGGAAGAGTCTGTTCGATGACTTACTGAGTTTTGTTCAGACCTCTAGGTCATGTGACCTCACTGTGGCCGCTAGAGGCTGTTAAGAGTTCTGTCAGTTTTTCAAAGAGAAAAATGGCGTCTTTGTTTGCAAATTACGTCACCATGGTAATTCAAAATGCTAATGAAAGTAACAGCACACATCACGGTGCCGAGCCAGTTGTTTTGAGATAACATTTGTTGGGGTGCACATTGCAGTTCGGGACGCATTAAAGCTGAAGGAAAAGCAAGAACCTTTGCAGGTGGATAATAATAGGTGCCTGCCTTCAGGCCGTCACCAATTAAAAAAATCTTAGACAATCTTCAACAGTCCGGTCTGCATCAGCTGAAATAAAACAGCAGGTATAAGCATCTTCTTTCCTCCCAGTGTACAACTAGTCACAGAGTTCTCGTGCAGCGCCTCTCAGTTCACTTTTGGGTATATCTTTTCGTAGAAAAAGCTCTGTTCCAGCACGTAAAGTTCACCGTCCTTTTCTCTGATGGCGTGAGTGCGCACAAACTGAAACTGCTCCAAGGCGAACTCGTAAAACTCGTTCTCGATTTTCCAAATGTTGGACTGCTGCAGCTTGGCTATTGTCTCTTTGGTGGGGGCCTTCTTCTCGGTGGTCTTCCTCAGATGGGACCGCTTTCCTGAGAAGACAACAACAAACGTAAAAAAATAGCCATCAAAGCTAATTTAAATGGTTTTAACTCAGCTATATTTATACATACAGATATGGTGTGGTTATAGTGAGAATGTTCCCCATTACATACTGAATCTAAATCAAAAAGCAAAGATGGCCACCATAGCTTAATAGAGAAAATTACTATAACTCAGTGATTTGTTTTTTCCATATTGAGATGAAATTTGGTATGGTGGTAGCTGAGCACGAACCCCAACACATAGTACTGTCAAATTAAAACTTTGAAATGGCCGCCACGTGGCAATCCCCATCAAAGTTTCTCCAGGAACTTTCTAGTTTTAAATATAAAATGCATAACAACAATATGAGATCCTTCATCAGTCCCTCATGTCGAAGACTTCAAAATTCCCAATTTAATAAAGAAAATAACTGAACACGTTTTCTTTGATCTTCTACTGGATTGCCCGCAGCCATTTATAAAATCACATGTAAAACGGGTAGGGATGCACCATATAGGATTTTGGGCCGATATATTAAAATTTATTTGGCCGATAACTGATACCAATACCGATATTTTTCCCCTACACCTACTTACAGACACTACTTATCTTTATCTGCTGTGGAATTAAAATACTACATTATTCTGCATGGGCTTTGTTAGTTTGGCTGCTACCAAATTCAGATGCCAAAAAGGGGGCTGAAAATTATGCGACACTATATAAATATATAAATATATAATATATATATTATATATTATAATATATATATATATAAACAGCACCTTTTATATCGGTGAGTTATTGTTGATGGAATGGCCGATGTCCGATATTTAACTTTATCGCTAATATCGGCCAATACCGAAACCATGCCGATAATATTGTGCATCCCTAAAACCGAGGTGATACACCTGTTTTACATGTGACACATGATAAACTGTGCCAGCAATTGTGCTACTGTAAGTTGAAGACCACAAGGGGAGAAATGTTCCAGGAGACAGAGGGAGGACAGTCAAGAGTGTAGGGCTGAGGGTAGCAGGCCGACATGATGCAGAGCTGGAAGAACGATGGATTTTATGTTCAAAAGACCAAGTGGAAGGGCAGCAAAGCTTGCACTACTGGGGCAGGGTTTAAGCTGTTATCATGGTGTGGAGGGGCAGGGTTTAAGCTGTTATCATGGTGTGGATAGGAAGAGCAATGAAGTAGGGGCGGTCTTAAAGGAGTTTGTAAGGATTGTAGTAGAGAAGCTGTGGGCATGGAGGACAGAAGATGCAGAGGACTGAGCGAGATGGAAGAGAACGACTCCTGTGGTGACCCCTGAAAAGGAAACGGCCAAAGGAAAAGGAAGAAGGTGGAATTGGGTGTCACTCAGTATAAGTTATGTTGGTGGCTGGTGGAACTGTATTGTTAGTTTCTATTTTGTTTTTGGATTGACGGGTAGAGCAAAAAAAAAAAAACCTCTTAAGACCAGCACTAGCACCATCTTGCCATCATCCACCTTGGCCGTGTTTACAAATGCATGTCATTTTACACCCTGAGCCATTGTGTGTTTATAATAATAGTTATTCTCAAACTGTGAAGCTTTCACTCCACCAAGGATATGGTGGTACGATAAGGAAGGTGCATGATCTTCCTGTTTTTTTATATTTATTTTAAAGAGGTGCATTGCAATAAAAGTCTGAGAACCACTGTAATGGAAACAGATGGTTTATTGTGGAAACTGGTGTGGTGTTACCTGTTTTGTAGAGCTCTGTGGCTCCTTTAAAGAAGCGTGGCAGTGCTGCCTCCAGGACCATGATGAAGTCCTCCAGCTCCTCGGTTACTCCGACTAACAGATACTTATTTACCAGGTTGTACTTGGCCTGCTCCAGGGCCCATCTACTTCCCCCATTCCTGCACACAAACAGTAGGAGTTAGCTTTTTGAATCAATTGGATTTAACTTTGGTTGGTAGAAAAATTCTAATAACCACTTCTAGTCAACTATCCAAAATTTCAGCTCACATTATTTACAAAACTATTATATGTTGATTGAATTTTACATGCTTGTACGTCTGCAAAGTTAATGGGAATTCACTTATCTCCCAGTCAGCTGACTTGGTTAACATTTCTTTTACTCCTTGCACTCATACTCCTGGTCTTCGTCTGTTGTGCCACCTTTTGAAAGGGAGTTTTATCTTGGAACATGTACAGGCTACCGGCCTCAAGGACCCATGTGAACTGATACTCTGCTAGGCATGGGTCAATAAATGGTGCCAAAGTAATATAAGATTAAAAAGTTAGTGTCAAAACTAAACCCATCTGTTATACTGGTCCCGTGATTCAAACGGTTTTTAATTAGACACCACAGACAAGCTATTTTACTTTGTTTCCCCTCCAGCCACATAGAGCACTGAGCAGTTCCACCTCTCCAAACTGCTGCTTCCAGCCATCACTCATGGTCATCAAGAAGGGGATTTCTCTTAACTTTTACAATGAATGTGCAAAAAACAAGTCAGTTTGTTTTATCCTGTGCATAGCACAGACAGTCATGTCTTATCTAGCAGAGAAGTAACTCTCATTTCTTCTTTCAAAGTAAAGCTGTATTAAAAACATTTCCAACAAGCTACAAGAGTTAGCACGTTAGCTGGTGTCATACACAACCTACTGCAGACTCACTACAGAGGCTAACAACCAGCTGATTAATTAATAATAATTAAGTCGTCTAGCTCGCACTGTTTCTTTAGAGCAAAACAGAGAAGCATCAATATATGCACAATTACTTAATACTTAAAGATAAAATATAAGCTAAAACAATTAAAGCAGCCCATTCATGGACTCTGGTCTTTTAGCTTACATTAGATTTAAATAAAAATATATTCTCAATACTTGTGATCTAATGAACATTGCAGGCTTAATATTACAAATCATCTTAAAAATACATTTTATTAAAATGTTGATCTCAAACTGGTAAATATTGGTCCTGAATGCAGGAAAAAAACAGAGTCAACATGTCACTATGTTCTGTCAGTCTTCATAAAAATCTGTGAGGAAAAATTGAAATACCTCCAAATAAACATTTTCTTAAAAACGATTACACTATTATACCCATACTACAAACATCAGTGGGCAATATGTGATGTCATTTAGGCAGCAAAAGTGACAGTAATTACTTTTTGTGTTTTAATAAAAGCAAAGAAATCATCCATCTTATCCAATATCTGCTCCTCGTTCCAGATTTGGTTTGCGGGGGCAGTAATTATGAGATACATCTTTCCACGTATATTAATGCCAAAACAGTCAAACTAATATTTTTTCTCCATGTTACCATACTGCAGAATATCATACTGGGCCCTGGCCTACTTGTGCCAATATTTCCATCTCATTCGAGAAAACTTGCTCTCTTTGACTTGAGTCTTTGTGGCAGGACTTTTACTGTGACAGAGTGGGAGTGGGTGTTCTAGTGTAGCTCACCAACACTCTGAATGGTGACCACAGAAGAAGGGGATCTGCAGCCAGAGTTTTTCAGGAGCACAGTCGGAACCCCCTGAGGAGACGCACTCGTCAAAAGTCTGCAACACAACAGGAATTAAGTCAAAGTTTCTTTAGTTGTCGTTTGCACCACATGTGGTACATGAGGTGGAACTAAATTGTGTACACTGGATCCCAGTTACATCCAACAAAAGTATAAATTGTAAAGAAAAACTGTAATAAGATCTAAGATATGAACTAAGAAAAACGTTAAACTAATAATACACTAAGCACTAGTAGTACAAAAACAAAATGCTGAGCAACAGCAGCACGAACATGAGTCTGTGTGAGCAGATGAGTGCGAATGAACACAGCAACATGGATAATCAGCAGCACATATCAACAATCAAGTGGCATTATATTACATCAAGTGCTTAACAGTTACTGTAACATTCAAAGAAACTAGAAAGTTCCTGGACTAACAATGAAGGGGACTGCCACATGGCGGGCCGTGGCCATTTAAACATTTTGATTTGGTTCGCACTCAGCTGCCATCACGCCATAATTCAGCTCAACATGCCAAAAAATATCAATGAGCTATTTTTTTTTTTGCATTTAAGCTATTATATTGGCCATCTTTGCTCTTTGATTTGGATTTAGTATGTGATGAACATTTTCAGCTATAACCACACCAAATTTCAGCTCTATACATGTAAAAAAAACGATGACGTAAAGCCATTTAAATTTAGCTTTGGTGGCCATATTGGATTTTTTATTTGAATTCAGTGTTTATTGGGGACTGGCTAGAAAAGCAGTCATCTATTATAATCCACCTGAAAAGGGTCTTACTCTTCCTTCAACTTTAATGTGACCTGAACCGCAACATGTCCCCCCACAAATTAGAGCTGTCATTTTTAACCCGAGCCCGAGTTAGAATATTTTGGCCCGGCCCATCCTGGACCGGGCCAAAATAATTTACTGGATGAGCGGCCCAGGTCGATGTCGGGTTTTTGATCGTGTTAGCAGATGCGCGCTGCTGACGATCCAATTTGGATCACTAGCTGACCGGCCGGTTGAAAGAGGTAAAAAAAAAAAAGTCCAGATGGCTCACTGCCAGCAACTCACCTGAAGCTTAACTGTACTCGGCCGCTGCTGACTCCGATGTGCGCGGCCAACAACCCAATTTGGACCATCAGCCGCGCGCATCTGCCGGCCATTAAAAACTATAATATCTATAATATTAAAATAACTAATAATCCGCTGACTCTTGTTAATAAACAAAAAATCTTATATCTTCCTTTCTTTGAAATATGTTTTGAAATCATGTCAAACTGATTTGCTTACAAAAGCTGTAAACGTTTAATTATAAAAAAAATGTTGTTTTTGTTTTGTCCTAAGAGCTAGCTTTGGTAAGCCAGGGTCAGAGCGCCAAGGTCCCCGCCTTCGGCCACTGCCCATAGCCTCATGCACCTGACTTTTAAGGCCCTTCCTGCAGGTGGTGGGTCCACAGGAAGGCAAACCCATGCCGCTCCTTCGAGCTGAGCCCGACCGGGCCTCATGGGCAGAGACCCAGTCACCAGGCGCTCGCCGACGAGCCCCTCCCCCAGACCTGGCTCCAGGGTGGGGCCCCGGTAACCCACGTCTGGGCAAGGGACACTGAATTTCTTATTTTGTCCATAAAAATCTTCTGAATCGCTCTTTGTCTGGCTTGTCACCTAGGACTGATCTACCATGGGAGACGTTATCAGGGGCAAATTTTAATTGCCCCAACAGCATAGCTCCTAGGATCATTCAAGTGCAGAAACTACTCCACCACGATAAGGTGGCGATTCAAGTAGGAGATTGCGGATACAGGCAGTTGAAAAGAGTTTTCTCCGCAGGGTAGATGGACTCTCCCTTAGAGATAGGGTGAGAAGTTCAGTTATTCAGGAGAGACTCGGAGTAGAACCGCTACTCCTTCACATCGAGAGAAGCCAGTTGAGGTGGTTTGGGTATCTGGTAAGGATGCCCCCTGGGCGCCTCCCTAGAGAGGTGCTTCAGGCATGTCCAACTGGGAGGAGACCCCTGGGAAGACCCAGGACACGCTGGAAAGACTGTCTCTCGGTTGACCTGGGAACGCCTTGGAATTCCCCCAAAAGAGCTGGAAGAAGTGGCTTTGGAAAGAGATGTCTGGGCCTCCCTGCTCAAGCTGCTGCCCCCGCGACCAGACTTCGGAATAAGCGGAAGATAATGGATGGATGGATGTTTTTTTTTTTCAGGTTCAGGCCTGTAATCAAAGTTAATTGGTCGGTTTTAGGTCGGGCTTGGAAAAAATGATACGTGTTCGGGCCAGGTCGGATTTGTTTAGGCCCGAACGTAACTCTACCACAAATGTTATATCAAAACAACCGGCTCGGAACTGTGATGTGCATTATTACTTTTATTGGTGTTTCGAGTTACCATGGCGACGTAATTTGCAAAAACATAATTTTTCTCATTGAAAAACCTTGACAGAACTTTTCACATGCTCTAACTTCCACAGTGAGGTCACATGACCTTGAGTCAAGAGGTCTCTGAACAAAACACTGATTAACTTTTGGAGCCATTTTGGTTCAAGATGGCTGCCACTGACACATCAGAGGTGGTCAACGGAAGCTGAAGAAGCCCTGCAGGGTTGTTTTGAGGCTACAGACTGGAATGCAATGTGCCAGCCACATGGAGAGGACATCAATGGCATGACTGAGTGTGTGACCGACTATATAAACTTCTGTGTAAATAACACCATCCCCACCAGAACAGTGAGATGCTTCCCCAATAACAAACCCTGGATCACCACTGACCTGAAAGAACTACTAAACCAAAAAAAAAAAGAGCCTTCAGGGAAGGAGACAGGGAATTATTGAAGAGTACACAGAAGCAACTAAAAGTCAAGATAAGAAACAGCAAGGAGGTGTACAAGAAGAAGCTGGAGAGTAAGCTCCAACAGAATAATATCAGAGAGGTGTGGTCAGGGATGAAAAAGACAAATAGAAGATATATGGATGCATCTAAAAAAGTTAAATCTGGTCCTCTGGACATTCAAAAAACAAAACAAAGCAAAACAACAAAAAAATGTAGAAACGTTTTGTCATTCATCCGAAAGACTTCCTCAGTCTGAGGTGCTGTATTCAGCTCAGTCTTATAAACAGCACCTTCTCAAAGTGGATCAACCAGTTTTGCTGCTGACAATCAAATATATGGATGCAGTTAGAAAGGACATGGAGGTAATTGGAGTGAGGACAGAGGATGCAGAGGGCAGAGTGAGATGGAGGAGGATGACTCACTGTGGCGACCCCTGAAGAGGGAAATGCAGAAAGAAGAAGAAGAAGCCTTTAGCCAGTAGTTTCAGGTATTTCAATGTCGCCCACTCTGTCCCCTGAATGCATTTGACTGTGTTCGCTGGAGTCCCTAATGCCACGTTTTAGACTATGAAGCTGCCAATAACCAGGGTCTGCTTCTCAGTGGGTGTGTCACTGAGCAAGGAAAATCTATTAGAAATGTGAACGGGTCGGTGGTGAACTGGGGGCTTAGACTTAGCACTAAGCTTACTCCAGACAGTCACCCAGCCAGCCTGGGTTTCTGCCTGCTCGGAATCTACTGGAAGACCACTAACAGGAGCTAGTCTCAGTGGCTCCACACTGTCTACAGGGACCTGGCTAGCTAATGGTTTTTCAACAGCGGGGAGCCGAGCTTCCAGTTCAGACAGCCTCTCCTCCAAAGCTACTAGAAGTCTACATTTAATACATCATTACGGCTAAAGGAGGCAGAGGAGTAGCAAGTGAGAACAAAAGACAGGAGATAACTAGAAACCATGCAAATCTAATATTAGCAATAGCTAGCAGATCCAAAATACACTGGAAAAAAAAACCCCAGAAGTGTTGAAATACAACAGTTGTCTCAAGCACAATCCAACAGTAGAAAAACACCTATATTGCGGGTGTTTGTGTACTAGAATGTAACTGCGCAAAAGATAGATAAATCCAGTAAAACAAGACTCCTCGAGCAAATAAATTACTCAAGATACCAGCAGAGAAAATTGGAAGTGACACAATACACCTTACTGTGAACATCCTCCCCAGAGAACAGAGTGGTGTGAACACTCCATCTAGAGATAATAAATATGTCTATCAAGCTTCATTAAATTATCTTGAGCACTTCAGAAGTGATGGTTTGGGCAAGCAAAGGACCTTGTATAATATTTGACCCTTATTTGTGACCTTGACCTTGGACTGGGCTGATGAAAATTGTAAGCGAACATCCGTTTAGTGATGATGAATACATGTGTAAAGTTTCATTAAACTATCTTGAATAAAAGTTGTGGGCAGGACAAGAGAAACTTAACATACATACGAATGGACCCGCCTTTGAGGGGCATAAAAAGAAAGAATAAGGTCAAAAGAATAAGGTTGTTTTAAACACCTGATAGTCCGGTAGACTCGGTTCGATTGGGGACCAAAATTTGGAACATTTGTTTACATTTTCAGCTGGTGCGGTTCGCATTCACACTGCACTCAGTCAGTCGATCCAACCTGTTTATCAGCTGATTAACTGATCACAGCCCTCCTGACACTGAACAGCATACACAACATTGCTCTGTTTGTGCCGGGGGACTGGATCTTTGGGATGAACCAGTCTTTGCCGTAATGTATTTTGGGGTTTAAAA